AGGACACAGCACACGCACTGTGCAGCACACAATGACACAGCGCACGCACCGTGCAGTCCACAATGACACAGCACACGCGCTGTGCAGCACATACCGTGTCTTGCTTTGGGATTTGAACTAAAACAGAAAGCAGCTGCTCCGTATCCAGGAATCTTGAGATGACTGAAACAGAAAGTGAGCGTCAGAACGTCACAGAGCAATCAAAGAGAGGATGCACTGGGTTATTCGCAGGAGCACAGCCATCATAAGACAACTGCACCACACGGAAGACTGTGTGACTTAGGCAGGGCCAAATCCTATAGAGTCATGGGGCAGAGAGGAGACCCTGATCTTGCGATGGCTGCCTCCCCAGACAAGACAACTGCTTCGGGCCATGACAGATCATGAGCTAGCTGACTATGGCCATATGTTATCTGAGTAGCACACATAAACACTATCCCAAATAGACAAAGAACTCCCCTTTTGGCCAGGGGATATGCATTAAGGTCTGTAGATGCACTACATGGCAAAATACCCACATACAAAACATTTTAAAGATTTAAAAAAAAAACTTTTCAAGAATTTACAGCTTTAACACCCATCTTTCAGAAACTTAAACAAAAAAACCACAAATAAACTGACTGCATTCTAATTTATATAAATTATAATATAATTATAAATTAAATATAAATTATTTATATTTATACATAATATATAATTTATATACTAAATTATATGGTTTTATTATATAATTTATATAGAATTTATAGGCAAGTAGACTTAGTGATGCATGCCTATAACCCTGACATGTGGGAGACGGAGGCAGGAAGGTCAGGGTTTGAAGACCAACCTGGGCTGCAGTCAAATAAATAAATAATAAGCTCTGTTTACCTGACTGGAGCCCAAAGAAGAGCTCCTCGTCCTGAAGCAGCTCCTGGACACAGTCCAGCCTCATGTTGATGGTCTCCACATCAACCAGGGGCTCCAAGATGTTAGAGCGCAGCCTTCTGCTCCCTCCTGCCGTCTTCGTGTAATTTAGAACACCAAAGAGAGTGTGATTGTTCCTTCCAAGAGACAAGTTGGAAATCTCATTAAGGAGAAAAAGAAAAATCCAAGAAAATTTCTTTTTAACTTGATAATTAAATAATCCTAGAATCTATATCAGTGATTAACAAATTTATTATGCAGACAAATTACTAATTCAATAAATTTGAATTAAGGCCTAAACCCTACATTTTTTGTGTTTTATTGATTGGACAGGGTCTTCTGTAGCATAGGCTGTCCTCAAACTTGCAACATACCACAGCATGGTCTTGAACTCATGACCTTCTGAACTACCCCCTAAGTGCTGGTACTAGAGGTATAGTGCACAACCACATCTGGTTTGATCCCAAGTATGATATCACTGAGCCAGAGCTGATTAATGAGGATCATCAATATCTCCTATGCTAAGCCTGAGCACACAAGGCAGCCATGGTTCCTAACTGTGGCTTTCTTGCATAGGTGTGGCCTTGTTGGAGGAAGTGTGTCACTGTGGGGTGGGCTTTGAGGGCTCCCATGCTCAAGCTACATCCGGCGCCACAGTTTACTTCCTGTAGCCTACAAATCAAGATGTAGGATTTTTCCTCCAGCACCATGTCCGCCTGCACGCTACCATGTCCTGTCACGATGATAAAGGACTAAACCTCTGAACCTGAAGTGAGTCACCCCAATTAAATGTTTTCCTTTATAAGAGTTGCTGTAGTCATGGTGTCTCTTCACAGCAATAAAACCCTAGCCAAGCCAGTGATGGATGGCCAATAATTTTTATCAACCTACTGAAATGACTAAGGACGAAACAAAGAGTAGGGAGAGACAGACAATAATCTTAAATATATAAAAATGATCTGGGTCTGGTGTGAGTAAAGTGTGACTCAGTGAGTAAAGTGCCTGCCACCAAGACTGGTGACCTGAGTTTGATTGCTGGAGCCCACGTAGAGAAAGGAGACATGGTTGGTACTCTTGTAACTTGTCCTGTGACTTATACACACACACACAAAATTTAACCAATGTAAAACAAAAAATTAAATAATTACCAGAGTTGGTCATTGACTTTCTATGCTCTGATAACACAAGGGTAACAGAAAAGCAATGTAGAGCAATTCCGTCAACAGGCCAGTGGTGCCAAGTGGCCATGAGCATCCATCCATGTACAGTTCTTACTTCACAGGGGAGAAGAGATGGTTTATTCTGGAGCCATGTGGGAGTGACCATGACCCAGGAATGCAGATTTAGGCCCCAAATTCCACGTTCCCACACAGATACAGTTTCATAAACTTTTTATTATAACAGAGCAAAGAAGGTCCTCAATCAGGGTACTTTGTGATACACTGGTGATACACAGTAGGAAAACAGCAAATCAGACATTTCAGCCACAGGACTCAGATGCTATCTGACAATCTTGGCCTTTTGGTTGGTAGAAAATACAGTTCCTACATTCCAAAACGCTTTTATCTGCTCCTCACAGGGGTGCTACGCACAGTACCACAGTACGCACAGTACGGAGGCAGGCAAGGGATGGTTGCTAACGGCTAAAGATAGCTCAAGATAAACTGTGATCAGGCCCTGCACAGCCACTGCAGCCCAATCAGCTCAGCAGCCTATGGAACTCGCGCTCACACGGGCGTCTGTTTATCTGCTTTGCTTGTGTCCCTCACCCAATCTCAGCAACTGAAGGGTTGAATTTTGTTGTTTAGTTAAAGTAATTCTTCTGAACACCTGATTTTGTGAAAAATCTGGGTTCAGCAATAATAAGCCAGCAATTTAAAATCTTATTTACTATTTCTCTCACCAATAACTTAATTTAATTCAAACTTTCAAGTAACTAGTCACAGAAATCGATAACATTTTATAAGAACTCAGATTGCCTTACCTGTAGTCCTGGTTATTAACAAGCAATTCAAGGTTCTGGGCTGATGATGAATCTATCATGGCTGTCTGTTCACTACCTTGGAAATAAATCTTCAGTGATTTTGGTGCATAAACTGAATTTTGAATGAATTCAACATATTTTAACAAGGCTGCAGCAGCTGCGAGGCAGTAATACCTGTGAGTGAGCACAGCACAGCGGGGACGCCTGTGAGTGAGCACAG